AAGTGCAATTGCTCTCAGCGTTTGACTGGAGTCAGCAGAGTCATCCAGCTTCTCTCCTGACATGGAAGATGGAAGCCCAAACACACTGCCCCCATGTTTGGTCTCGAAATTCTGGCGGAACCTGCTCCTCTCATGTGACGCATGCGAAAACCTGGCAGACTGATTCTGGGGCGAATTTCTCAGGCGAATTTAAAAGAGTGGAATGCAATGCATGAAATATGCAAATTGAGCTGAAGGACCGTCACGAGAATTTAGCTCCAGAGCTCTTTCATAGAGCCTGGAAGGGCAGGGAAAATTTGTTTTATTGTATGTCAGTGTATATATTACAGTTACAGTATTGAAGTCTATCCTCTGCTAAGTATCCAGTTATCCAGTTATCCAGTTATCCAGTCTCAACATGAAACCGTAGTGCACCTCGGCGCGAATTTCCGCATGTTTCGCCACCAAAGGTATGCCACCTTCTCGCGATCTTTCCGGGCACGGCACCAGACGCTGTCAAAATTATCGGGGCCACCTACCACAGGAAGGTGCTGAAGATGTGGAATATGCTACCCTCCGGTGTCATCAAACACACATAGCACAAAAGAAGCTGGGATATCCCCGCACTAAATAGAGGTTTTCATCTGGGAAAATCATGGAAAATCGAATCTGGAAATGGTGGATTTTCCAGCAAACCATGTTTGATTACCAGAGGGTAGAGTAGTTCCTGCTGAAAGTGAATGCACCAACTGCGATTGCAAATTGCAACCATGGTGCAGTAATTCTGCGTCACCGCCACGCAGTCCTCCGATGGCATTTTTGCAGCAATCCTACCGGAATCTAAGTTGATATATACATTGACAGTCGCAAAATCTCAGGCTGAAATGCTGCTCCTCAAGGTTTAGAACTCCATGCCACCAGTCCCCCGGGACAAATATAATGTCTCCAGGATGCTGCAAACCTTCATAGGATCTCACCTGAGACATCAACCACAAAAAAAATATCATGTGTGGTGCCACTCATTCGTGCTGCCACTCTGGGATCGCGACATCGGGATACGCGTCTTTCAGGCGCGGCAGCAAAAAGTCGAAGTACATAATGGCTTCCGTATCCTTGGATCTACTATGATCTACTATGATCCACTGGGATATACAGGGATATAAAACACAATAAAACAATCATGTATAAACATCCCAGTAGATTCCCCAGAAAAGTGGCGGGTTAACCAATGGGAAACCAATGGGAAACCATTGGTAAACGGTTTCAGAAAATCCAAGTATCTTCGCCTTTTTGCACCACATCTTTGGCCTTGGCCTGGCGTCGATGGTTGGGGAAACCCAGTCGTCACCATGGGTTTCATGCTCTAATGACTTGGATAATTTGGGCGGACCCCCTTCAACATCGATGTTCAATGATGGTTATAATCAATCGCGGTTCATCGTCGATGTTTAAACTAGGCATTTGTGTATAAAGTAATGTCGATCTTCAATCACCAATGTCGATGTTTACCCCTCAGACATGTGGTGCAGCAATTTTATTGTTCCTTAATGCCACCGACTCGTGATGTCAATTTTATTCATTTAGTATGCTCTGACGAAACTTATGCGATATCACTTTGGAGCACATTTGACACATTGGATGCGCGTGTTTCCTGTGAGAGTGGTTATATCATCCCCTGGGAGGGGAACATAGGCCGATGGGATTTGAACTTGATTGGCATCCTGGTGAAATTCGTGAAAAGACTCTAGAAAATCATGGTTTTTTCTGGCCCTTTTCCCATGGTAAACACCGCATTTCGCGGGATCCGATGGGGTGACATCACTGAATTCCCGTTTCAAGCACCGAGTCATACCGATTAAGACCGGTCAGTGAAAACGTCACCTTCAAGGTCTCGTGGTGTGTTACCAAACCTTCAAATACGTGAGGATGTGGCTCTTTGATTTCTGTCTGGAAACAGAAAACTTGTGGATTGAAAAACAGCTTCTGGGCGCACACACCTAATGGACACTGAAAGCCAATGGGTTTGTGACAATGTTCCGTTTCAGGGGCCCAATCATTTCTTTACAAGGGTTTAACATCAACATTCATAAATGCATACAAATGCTACATTTGACTACCCCAAACATCGCATTTGTGCGTGTAGAGAGTTAACTTTAACTTCGGAGCAAGCCTCAACTTTGAAGCACATGGTATTCTATATTATATATATAATATACTATACACACATTTAAAAAATATCACAAAAATATACAAAAATATCATAAAATTATCGTAAAATCATATCAGATAACATGGATCGTTTCTCCCAGCTAGCCAAACGGTTTCATACTCCAAATCCTCTAACAGGACGGCTGGGCAATTCTCTTGGGCGTGCTCGGCTCAAACAAGACCCAGCGCTTCACCCCGTGGGTCACGGCCTGGTGGATGGCTGCATGATCGCTGTGGATGCATTTAACTGGTTTTAACTGGATCTATTTACTGGAACATACTGAAATTATATTCGGCCATACCTTAAATTATTCCTCTTCCTCTTCCTCTTCTTCTTCTTCTTCTTCGTCTTCTTCCTCTTCCTCTTCTTCTTCGTCTTCTTCCTCTTCTTCTTCTTCTTCTTCTTCTTCCTTTTCTTCTTCTTCTTCTTCGTCTTCTTCTTCCTCTTCTTCTTCTTCTTCTTTTTCTTCTTCTTCTTCGTCTTCTTCGTCTTCTTCGTCTTCTTCGTCTTCTTCGTCTTCGTCTTCTTTGTCTTCGTCTTCTTCTTTTTCATCAGCAGAATCAGAATCAGCATCATCATAGTATATACGAGGGGATGAAGTGAATTTCCACCGTTTCCACCCTTGATGAACAATCCTGGATGACCCTCACACTGAGCATTCGCAAAGCAAAGTCTCAGGGGCCAACATTCCAAGCTGCAGTTCCAAGAGGATCGGTGTGGACCTATCGGCTGTGAATAGCTGTCCTAGTTCTATTCAAATTGAGCCTTGCATAGCTTTGCCCTGTATACAAAATCCTCAGGACATGCTCTATTGATATTTATGCTATTTTCTGTCATCCAGTTTCCTTTGGCAACAAGCAGATGACTCTCAAGTTCTAAGTTCTACTTTTCTGCGCACTCAACAAGAGCTTCAGGGAATGGTGTGCCTGCAGTTTTTCAAATGGTGGCAACAACCTTTCGCGCCATCTTCCAATGCCTATCTTCGGCACTTTCGGGCGACAATGGTCAGTGACACGGCAGCAACAAAGGCAGCCCCTGTGGTCCCCAGGACAGTTTGCTTTCCACGCACAGCTCCAAGCTCAATTCGACCAAAGGTCAACGCATGATCAGTTGCTCGAATACCAAAGTCAGTGGTAAACTCCAGGAATCGAGCGGTTTCAAGTCCATCGGGAGCAAAGGATCTGTTGAGTTTCAAGAAACCAACTGAGTCAGGCCAGCCAAATGCTAAATACACTGGTCGGTGGCTTCGATCGTAGTTCAAATAAGCTTGGGCTTGTTCCACTTCTTGGAAGGGCCTGATTTTTGGAATCTTATCTGCCATGCCAAACAACCCAATCATGTTGGAAGGGTTCAGGCATGTTTCAGAATAGCCAGTCTCTCGCAGAGCGTCAGATAGTTCATCAAGAGTGACAATGTAATGCTTGGTGAAGGAACCATTAGTTTTTTTGAGCTGACTGTGAATAATTTGCTCAAGCACGTCTTCAGGGACTGTTTGTTCCCATGGTGTGTATTTGTAGGTCACTGGGGCAGGTTCCAGAAAACTCTTCTGCCACCACTCTGTCTGCAAGAAAAAGAAATTCGAAATTCGATCCGCGGAAGGACGGAGTCGCACGCCTCCAACGGCAATAGCATCGAAGAAGCCCACATGCCACGAGAGCAGCTTCCTTCGTCCCTCCCGGGTCGTCATCATGTGCCGAAGAATGGCTTGGCTCTTCTCTGACAACCTTCCAATGATCTGGCCATTGCGATGAGCTGAAAACGTCACCTTGAAACCAGGATCGTCTTTCAGGACCAGGCGGTCATTCAGATCTCCTACCAGGATGGCTTGGAATTTCCGCTGGTTGCTGGTGGCCATCTCCTTTCGCTTCATCAAATGCTGCATCAGCCTCTGTACTTGATTCTCTTTCACTGCATCATGTGTATCCAAACCAGCTCCAATCACTGCAAGATCGGTTTCCTGACCATCAACCAGGACCGACACCGTTTGTAGAAGCACTGCTTTGTTGGGTTTCTGCTGGGAGATGCAACACGGTCTCGGGTGAGCAGAATGATTGCGTTCGAGCACGGGTTTTCTGGTGCAGATCAACAGAGCGTGCACTCCATGTCTGGGTCCATTCAAGCCGATCCCATAGTAAGCACGCGCCGGAGAACGTCCAGGTAAGGCATTGCAAGTGTATCCTTTGGAAGACACATGTACAGCAATGTCTGTCCAAAGTGCTTTCGTGGAGCTAGTGTCTGTTTCAAACCAAACGATCATATCATCAAGCTTTGCAGAGATTGCATCTGCAATGTATTCAGCCGCCGCAGGTGAATGCTGTCGACCGTTCAGTTTCAGAGAGCCTGCCGCTATAGTATAAGCTTGGGATGGCTTGGCACATACCCAGATCGTGATCACAAACAATACATGAAAGATAGTGAGGCGCATTGTCCATGGCAAATCCAACTATACTGCCTGGCTAAAATTCTGGTGATGTGTCGCAAACATGGAAAGTCAAAATATAGACGAGGCTGTTTATATGAGCCACAGCCGTTTCATCAATCTTGGGGGATGGATTGTGTGAATATGTGTGAGTCACACTCATATGACTCATATGCGTCATGTGATCTGCATTGTTGACAAGAAGATTTGTTCACAAGATCAAAGCTTTGTCAAATAGCTCATAGCTCTTGCGAATCTAGCGCAAACTACAGCTTGCCAAATGTTCATTTTGAAGCCAAATGTTCCATGAACTCTGCATGTTCTTCGGATGATCACCTTCACACTCGTTGACGAGCTCTCTGAGGTGATTCATAAGCACAAAACAAATGTAATTCAGCAAATGTATGTAAATGATTACAGTAGATATATATATATATATCGTATGTATATATATATACATAATCATATGTTCATATAATATCATACAATATAGTTTTCACAAAACCATGTTCCACCAATCCTTGCGGTCCAGCTGCCGCATTTATCTATTGCCCAGCGGCCGTGGTTCCAGATCGCTTCGGTCCAATGCACCACCAGCGGTGAGGCGGACGGGCATCATGGTTCATGAGCGCCAACCTCAACGGGATCCGGATGGGGATCCTGGGGGATTCCTGGGGATCCCCTGGATCCCGGATCAAGATGGATCAAGATGGATCTTTGGGGCCACACCAATCGTGGGGAAACAAATCCGGCATCTCAAAGTCGTCCAGCAAATGTCTCATAGCACTGGTGTCCTCACAAAAAAAGGCGCTCTGTTGCCATATTGATCTATGTTGATCCACTGCAACGCTAAACACGCCGGAGGATCGTCCATTTTGGTCTCAAACAAGTAGAGCGGACTATCCTTACACAAAAACACGATGGGAAAGAAAGTTGATGTGTAGCTATGTGTAGCTTATGTTGCTTTCACCAAAGCGAAAGATGTGCAATCGAGCAAGCCCAGTGGCATCTTGTTGGTGACGGCAGTAATCAACGAAGTATTTCATCTTCAGCTGGATATTCCTGTTGCATCCGCATAACATACGCATAGGCACACCAACACTTCGTTACACAAGCGTACATAAGCCTAAAAGTTTCTGAAAGATTCAGTCACTTCTGAGTGAGCGGCTTTCCTTTGTCCGTCTTCCTGAAATCAGCCGGTATTTTAAAATCTTCCAACAGGAGTCCGCAATCAATTTGAGAAACCCCTGGCCGCTATCTGAGTTTCTCGGACCCAACTTTGAAGTCGATGTGCCGAAACCTGGTCGTTGCACCACGTAATTCTGTAGAAGAACTGAGTTTGTCTAAAAATGTCTTGAAAGAAACATGGGAAACTCCCACATGGCGATCAGGGGCAAATCCACTGTGAAAACAGACCCAAGTGCCAGAAGTACCTGCCTCTCTTCGAGGGCAGTGAGCGACCATCGGCTTGATGCTGGCCAGGAGGAGCAGGCATCCTGGCCAGCTGTCGGGTGATTTTAGGGTTGAAACCCATGGGTTTTACCACTAAATATACGGGGGTTCCAGTTTCAAAGTTTCCCATCAAGTCTGGAGAGAATGGCTGACAAAGCGGAAAAAACTGTTGAAAACCCATGGATTTCCCATGGTCACCAATCTTGGCAACGGTATCCTGCGAATCATCCAGAAACCAAAGCCTCCTACGACCCTCGCCTCAATGATGACTGGTCGTTTTTTCTCAGCAAACTCCTGGGTAACGCAGTGCCACGGCAACTTGGACCATTTCTTGTCCATGGCGAGCGATTTTGTGCGCCTTAAGGAACTCCTCTGGGGTAATTTCATGCCTTTTCACCTCAGGACACAAGGCGTAAGGCGCTTCCACCATGTTTCGCCATGGTTTCCTCTACTACTAGTTTACCCTGTGGAATTTTCCTGGAATGTTCCCAGAGAAATGTACCGAACGCAGTTGCCACAGCACGGAACACGGCAACTGTGGCTCATTTCTTTGAAATGAAGTGCAGTGTGATGCACATGCTATATCTGTTCCGCAAGAGAGGAAGTCGCTGCCGGGAACGAATGTTTTGCAAATCAGCATCTCCAGGGCACAAACCCTTGGAATTGGAAGTGTTTGCCCGTCATAGACGATCTCCCGCTTCAGAACCTGATTGTGGCAGACTCAACTCTGTCCAGTCCGCACTGAGGGCTCTGAGACTAGAGCATCATCATTTTGTGCGTAGCCATATTTTGCCCATTCTGTCCTGAGTGTTTTGCAAATGCCTAAGATTCAAATCAGATCAATTTGACTTTGGCGATCTTTTGGGACCCTTCAGATCCCAGTATGCAGCATTTGGATGTGTCTGAAAATGTATGTATACCCCCTATTCATTACTATTTTGAATAGGGAAAATGAGGAAAATGATGACTAGCCAGTGGATTTAAGGCATAGGGGTACCCAATTTTCAAGACAAATCCCCGGCTGAGCTGCTGACGGTTTGATGTCAGTGCGGTGGCCCTTTCTACACCGATGTATTTCAGCTGCTGTTCGGCGATGTTGAAACCTTAGCAACGAACCCGGGGCCCCCGTTTATGGCTAAATTGGTGAAAATAACTCCAATAACTATCGTTCATGAATGTTTATGATACCTATAACTTATAACTAACGAAATGTTGTGATTCTGTGGACTCCAAATCTGCAACACTTTGGGACGGGCGGAGGTTTCAAAGAATCAGCAAATGCCTCGGTGGCTGTCGATGTAGAATGTGGGAACATCATGGAGCATCCATGTGACAAAAAGAATGTACAAACATGTAAGGCATGAGGGGCAAACTTTCCTTATGCCTGCATTGGAGACATCCTCCTGCAAAGCCAACATCCCCACAGCTGCAATTTGGTGCATGACAGAATTCATCCCCTTGCCTGCCGCCCGCACATGGGGCAGGAAAGGAAAGCGAGTCCAATTGGATTCAAAGCTGACATTGTCCTCATATCATCTATAGGCACAAATAGTGTGTGTGAGTGTGTGTGTGTGTCCGTGTGTTTGTGTGGCAATATGTCTATATATCTTGTCAATGGTTGTCATGTGTATCTGTATATGGGTACACAAACCATTGGCACCATAAATGAATGCAACGAACATCAAGTGCCCTAAAGGGATGCCACTGTTGACTGTTGCCACGCGAGCAAACTTGAACAAGAAACTTCCAGTAAACCCAGCGCTTTCCACCACAACAACCATCGCACAATTGCCAGGTCTCCCCATCCATTGCAGGAAAGATGATAGACTTGATAGACCCGACAGTAAGTTGTTTCTAAAATCGAGGCTGCTATCATTATGTCCAGTTTGAGTTTGAATGATCGAGCCAGTTCGGCAACAGGTTCGATGCTGGCTCTTCTCAAGCTCCAAGCAAGAAACAAAACACCCTGTTCCATCCATGCCTTTTCCCAACAATGAGCCGTTTACCAACCAAAATCATCCAAAACCATCCAGTCTGCCCGGTAGCTGTCATCAATTGCAACCCTTTTCTGCGCATTTGCTTGCGCGGCTGCACCTGTTTCGCGCGACATTGGCTCCCAGGGAGCACGCGAGGCGGCGAGGCGCTCAGGTGACACCTGCGATTTCACCGCCGAGGGCAGCGATTCTTTAGCTGCCCAGCTTGCGGCTCAGGTGACGAACGCACTAACTGGCGATTCCCGGCTGACGCTTCGGCTTGGACAGGCCACGGCCAAAGGTAGGCGTTGAAATGTGTCAAGATGTGTCAAGTCATCATTATTGTAAATTAACTGGCAAACGGTCTAGTGAGTTAGTGTGGGCTACAGCTACGATTCATTTCAACCATGGCCAAACTTCTCCAAGGAAAATTATCTTCCATCCACAGCTCAAGACCCGAAACGAAACATCTACGGTTGAAACAAGAGTCTATGGAACAAGAATCGAAGTCTATAGTCATCTAGAGACCACTGACGGATGTTTGCTCCTTTTGCAAAACATAAACTGGCATGGCAGTGTATATAGGTAATAGGTCTGCCTGTCCACGCTGCCAAGGTGGCAGTTCTTTTAGCCATCGGCATCAGCGATGTCCTAGTCTCACACCCCTGAAATCTCACCTAGTTGGTGGTGTCAACCTATATAATGTCTATATGAAAGTCAAAAAGTGAATCATCCTCCCATGTTGGGGAGGGAACATAAAATAGTGCAAATAAAGCCACCTGCCAGTAAACTTGCCGATTGATCGTGGATATTCGCTAGATTAGCCATTGAAGAGAGATGGTTAGTTGACATTCACCGTCTCTGGCTCCAAATCGCTCCTTCAATATCTCTGGCATGGAAGCACGACATGCAAGTGTTCCTTACAGAAAAAAAATGTTTGGATCTGGTTTGGGCAATCTCAGAGCCTGGTTCAACGTCAGGGGTGTTTCTCTAAAGCTCCAGGCGGGTGCCGACCGATCGACTTTCAACCTAAAGTCATAGTCGTTGGATGGTCATCTCTTCTCCTGGCGAGAAGAGTTCCAGCCACGGTGGTGACACCCCAACAAAAGCCGCCATACAAACGGGTATGGGTCAAAAACCCTGGTATCCGTGGTGAATGAATGTGCATCCCCCCAAATATGGTAAGGTTTAGATCCATCGCCATCAAAAATGTGGTTGAATCATGTTGAATCAATATCATCTCATGAACGAAAGGATACTTCTATCCTAGAAGGACTACCAAAAGGAGAGAGTACGGGTTTTCACAGCGTGCCAATGTTCTTTTTGTCCAACCATTTCATGCAGGGAAATCCGCGACCCATTGACGTACATGGTTTCCTGAGTTTAGTTGGACATTATTCCTGGAGTCATGGGAAGCTCAACCTTTTTATAAGACGCTCATGGGGTACTCTCTGGAAATGATGACAATGGAAAGTCACCATTGTGCAATAGGCGAATCATCCATAGATATGGTGGAGTGTCCATTGCATCTTCAAGGATGATTCCTCAACCTCAAAATAACTCCCAAAATGTCCCTAGGCATCCTGTGTGTGGCTGCGGGTCAACGAGCTGGTACCCTGGTTGCACACCTCAAAAATGCAAAGATTGGACCGTTTTTGGGATATTCCCATTTTTGGGTGATATTTTTGGTGGCTTGACCTGTACCATTTTTTGGGTTTGCCTAAACATAGATGCACCCAGACCTCCTGCCCATCATGATTTTCCCCATTGAACCAACCATCTTTTGGGGGTCTAATCCCATTTTCAGACCACAGGATCCACCCTGTTTAGACTTGCCTAAGCCTTCTGCTTTGCTCCACCTTGCACCATGGCTCGAACAGCCACGTTGACATGGGGATTACTGGCTGTCTTTGCCGGCCACATCAAACATCGATCCAATTTGCTGCTGAAAATCGGGTACCTACCAGAGTTTCAATATGTTTCCATCACCAAAACAACCCAATTGGATGGTTTTGATAAGAACCAGGAACTACCTATGTACTGTGCTATTGATCCCGTGCACGCCTCTTGCAGAGTTCCACGTCCGTAGCTTGCGCCACATAGCCGTCCTCAGCATATTCCTCAAACGCAAAGTCCTCAGCATCCGTGTTTTTGTCACTCAAAGTGACATCTACCATCAAAAAGGTAGGGACAACTGACTTTATCTGCGTTAGAACCAGAAATGCAGGCACAAACCTAGGTGATTCCGGTGAACTCTGACTCAGAATCAGTTCATCTGTGGGTTGACTGACCCTCAGAATCCATCAAATGAACTTGAGTCACAATTCACAATATGTCCATTTGTTCCTATGACCCATAAAGTAGAAAAATATGGTAAACCGGTAAACCCAATAATGGACCTTCCCAAAGTCATCAGCATTTTTACAGGTGGCTTACCATCCCCAGTCATGGTAGAGCCCACGCCTCACTGAAGACACTGTCGCTGTCCCATTCCCTGGCTAGGTCAATGTCCTGCAGAATGGCCTGGAGATGTTGGGAGATGGCGTATCTACATAAGAATGACCATGTTTGTAAAGAAATATTGGATATGTCAAATTTTGTCAAATACATACTTACATGTACATATCGTTCATTCAAATATCGATATTCATTCTGTACAGGCTGTATGTGAGCACACGTAAAGTAACTATTCGTAACTAAACTATAGTAATACTATAGATGCAGGAGGGTTGATTGGGGCATCAGTCGCTGGACACACAAGTCTGTTTGGATTTTGGTGTCAGAATTCCAACCCATTTCAAAAGTATGGCATAGTCAGAGTCTGGGACCATCTTCACGAGTTTTTGAATGGCAAAAACACCTTTGACACCTGACAGCAACAACCAGTTTCGGGTCTCCAGCAACAAAATCTCCCCATCCCAGGTCCACCTCGAGATCGAAGTCCTGGTGGGTACGCTGGCTAGTCATGACAACTCCCATTTTTTCACGGTTTTGCGTGATTTGTCATACTTTATGAATCTACATCTTACATTCTCATATGCCCATGAATCTCGGACGAATTCCGTTCATGTGTCTTTTTCAAGCAGCCTGATCTCCCAACCATCCCAACAGCAACAGCCACACCTCTGCCAGGGGGTTTGGCGAGTACTCCCCGTTGCTCAGTGACTGCAGGATGCCTTCCATGTGAGCCATTGAATTTGCTATCCATATCACACTGTGTAGTACTGTAGTACTGGGTAGATGCAAAAATCAAGACATCCCGAGATTACGGCGTGTTTCTTATGCATCACGGCCTTGGTTTACACCAGTAGTAGTTGTGAGTTGATCTATTGTCCATGGAAAAATACATGGGCCCCTATCAATAGCAGCAGCTCTCTTCAGGGAATCTTGGTGTCTTCCAACTTCCACAGTCAGCAGTGGGGCATAGTGGGGCCCTAATGATGGGGCCCTGCTGCTGATGAAAGGGGCCTCCATAACCCCGACCAACTCCTAGGTCCTAGGTCAAAGCCGGACATGTGACGTGGGTAGCTGGACTCTCAGCGGGTCATCCACACCTGTTCGATCATCCGCCATCCATGCTAGCTTCTCAACAGCTCGATATCTCAAATCCTATGGCAGGGCTGAGGAGAGTGATCCGCCGAGCTTCAACAGGCAATTATCTAGCCACCCGGCAATATGGGTACAGGTCAAAATTACTCAAGCATGAGAAAAATCCATGGATATTGGGCAAGAAATGAAACAGTAACATCCTGCAAATGATGAAAATCTCTGGATCTGCAGGTCTCCGAGTTCCCCAGAAAAGCAGGAAAAACTGTCTGGTTCCGATAGGCCTGCCCCCCACAGATTCCCACAGTCCAGCCGCTGCTCGCACAGGAAGTACAAGGCGCAGTCGGTGAAGGCGTTGCCTTCGGCCCCAGCTGTCAGCTATGAGGGAACTGGGAGGGTTTGGGGATTCAGTTCTTCAGGTTGGGAACTGGCTGTGGCGGGTTTATTGGTGGATGACAGAGCTGCCCATCTCAAGAATGTTCCTCAAAATATAATTAGTCATTTTGAGGAAGGCAAGTAAGAAGTGTTCGAAATCAACCTGTGTAAGATTTCGGGCATGAACCCATGCAAGTGTTTGAAGCCACTCACAAAGGCTAGAATCTTTGACCCTCTCAAAAGTGGCACAGGAAGAGATATCCGTTCCCGCTGATTCCGCGCTCACATCCTTGTGATTTCATTCCAGTTCAAATGTGTAATACCTTCCAACCCGCAGCAACCAGCTTAGCTTCCCTCAGGCTTCGACAGTTCTTCCGCAGCAGGTCGTAGCTGCCCTCCTTGAACTGATCCTGGTGACGCAGGCATCTCCCAGCGGACATACCTATTGCAGCTACGACAGCTGGATTCCATCAGTATCCAAACTCTCAAAATGACTGGGCGACGGGTTCAGAAGACAGCAACAAATGTGAGCCGCACACAGCACGCTGAACTGTTGCCGGCTTCGCATTTTTCCATGATGAAGTGCGCTTAAAATGTCCCCTTCAGGCCATCGCCGGCCAGTTTCCAATTCCCCCATGGACCCCCATGGACCCCCATGGGCCCCCGAACCCCCAGGAAGGACAGAAGCTCAGCACCACTCCTGGCTGAGACCCGCAGAAACACGTGTTTCTCACCTGTCATCTTAGTAGCTGAGGTTGCACATGGGGGATGAAGGGTGTAAACAGTTCCCTTGTTTGATGTGCACCTACCCCTAAAGTGTATTCCATCAAAAACAGGCGTTTATGAAATGCAAAACCATTGTTCCAAGTTTACAAAATGCACTGGGATATTTGTGGAATGCTCCGCAAGCAAAAACTGCACACATCCCAATGAGCATGTGTTTGCGATGCTTCCATTTATGGAATGATATGGTCATTTTTTGGACATAGATGGACATAGCAACATGTAGCATGTAGCAACAAGTGAATGTCAGTTCGATCTATAAAATGGGTTTGACAGCAAATTGTGTTTTTTTTCTCATCCCAAAATGAAAATTATCAATAAACCAGAGCAAACCATCAAATTTGGGGCACCCTATTTTAAGGCAAACCCAAAGTGGTTCGGGATGGTTTCGGCACCCAGTCAGCAGATGTCAGTTGTTTTCAACCTTTTCCCCCAGCTTTGACTTTGCCAGTCATTTTGAAGCTGGTCATGTCACAGCTCAATTGACCCGGAAAGCTCAAGGTGCTCCGGCGCTCTGAAATCATGTGCTGAAAACCGGCTACAAGCTGGCACAACCATCCAACATTGGACTCCAGCATATGCTGCTCTATTAGAACGCCACATGCAACCCACTGCACACCAACGGGAAGCACCCCACTCATCCTGACAATAGCAACACAAGTTTGACTTTGACTTGAAATATACTTGTGATTATAGTAGTGTAACCCGCAATACATGTTCAAAACAGATCCCACCACGTGGGACAATTGGTGGCCATTGCCCAGAAATGCGGAGCGGAAAACAATTGGCCAGGTTTCTTGGGATTGCGGTGAGATGACAACCAGCAGGAAGATCAGCAGCCGTTTTCATCACATGAATGCTAAATCAAAGGGCACCCTCTCAGCTTGGCTGTCATCTTCTTCCACCAATTCGGTGCCTCCCAGGAGATTTGTTGGTCCAACTGATGGATCTGTTGGCAATAGAACTCATGTATACTATATACTTTGATGCGGTGCAAAAGCCACATTCAAGGTTGCAAAACATGGAAGTTGCTACATTTATCAGCATCACCATTATCACCATCATCATCATCATCATCATCATCAGCAGCAGCAGCAGCATCATCAGAATCATCAGCATCAGCAGCAGCAGCAGCAGCATCATTATCATCGTCGTCGTCGTCGGCGGCGGCGGCGTTGTCGTCGTCGCCGCCGCCGTCGTCATCATCATGAATCATCATCCTCATCCTCATCATCATCATCATGATTATGATGATAATCATCGAGATTGCCATCGTCATTAGCGCGTATCTTATCTATCACTATCGTCCATCCACATGGTGTTAAAATGTCGTATCCACGTTAAGCTTCCATGTGGGCTTCAGATGTTTCATTTGACCCGTCAAGTTGAAGGATGGTGGGGACGCGCTTCCTACCTATCCACAGTAAAGATTCACCATGATTTGGAGGTTTCCTAAAGATTTGGGGTACCAAATCATCCCTTTATAGATGGACTTTCCATTAACCATCCATTAACAGGGCTACCCCCATGACTATGGAAACCCCCATTTGCTGGGCCTGATCGTTCCATCAATTCTCTGGCAATCATGAAATCCTGCAAAGATTGCTGTCTCTCAGAATGGGTCGTTCTTGGACTGAGGAAGCCACTTAAATGTTGATCGGTTATGATCGGTTATCATCTTCAATATGCTTGACTGTTTGAATCTGTCTGATTCTGCAAAACAAAATTGCCCCACATCCCCATCATGTACCCTCTGGTAAATGTTCAATAGGTCTGATCATCTATTTTCTCAGGCCATCTGATGCAAACTCTTAGATTACGAGGGGTAACTCCCGATTTTTGGTGGTTAGATCTCAATTCTTGTTGCTTAAACTGGCTCAAACCATGTGTCATCAGCTCTTTGATCAACGTCCTCCTCTTCCATCACATCGCCCAAGTGTTCCTTGATGACGCCTTTGGGACCTCAGGTGAAACTCCTGATGGCTTCAAAAATGTTTGGCCTTTCTAGAACATGTCACAGCATGAACCCTACGTTGACTCAGATTGAAGCGGTCTCGCAAGAAGCAAACCACCACCAAAATTCAACTGTTACTCCAAAACGGCAGGAAAAAAATGACGATGATTTTCAAAATTTCGGCAGGAGTTTTAACACTTCTCTGTACATGATACCATTAACAGTTTAGGCTCATTTCCAGGCAGGAAACGGTGGCAATAGAATGTGCAGTTTGATTCATATTTAAAAAAACAAAAACAAACTGCAAACA